CAAATCAAATAAAACAGAGTAAAAAACATAACCTCGCTTTTCTGTGATTCTTGTTTCTGGTTTGTGTGTCAAAATAGTGAGCAGAAAGTAAAGAAAATGGAAAAACTTTTAATAAAAAGGGATAATGGCCCTGAAATGCAGCATATACCACAAATGCCCGCTTCGCTCTCATACTCCATGACTGTGATTACTGGTGATTAGATCTGGACAGAGAAAATTTATTTTTCAAACATACATTTTGTGTTTTTTATGACGAGTAATTTCAGCTATAAGACAAAAGCGGCTAAGTAATTTGTTGACTTCTTGTCTGGTCTTTAATTTTGAGATTCAAATTTATTAGTAAGTTAATTAAAAAGAGATAGGTAGAGACAAAGACAAATTTCTCCCTCTTCTCGATCCTTCTGCTCTGAGAACATCGAGCTCGCTCTATGTTCTCGCTCCCACATACTTTGATTTTCTTTACTATACGGCGCAAGAGAGAGGTCCGACACGCCCAACATAGAGCGCGGCCATTTTGAACCCTATGCAACAGTTTATAGATAAAGAATCAGATCGCTCACTCTGCGTCGGCACTTTTGATCTCAATGTTCCAGTTTATACACTGCGCCACTCGAATAATACAATTATGACAACCGCCTATATTCAAACAGCAGTCTTCTGCGTATCCTGAATTTGTATCCCTGGAGTGGATGTTATTTTGGAACTTTCAACTGGTCCGAGTGAGCTAACTGATTCTTAAGCAATAAACTGTGACTTCAAAAATAATATTCACTGACACTGACAGCAGCAAGCAAAATATCTGGGGCCCTATTCCCGGCTATCGTTTTCTAAAAAACGTATACGCTTTAGCAAGATGCGAGCTATTCGCTATTCTCGACGTTCGTTTTAAAAGCGTGTACGTTTTTAAAAAGTGTATTTTACAGCGAGCGGAATTTTTCACACGTTTTTGATAAAACGTGCATGTTTTCATGGATTTAGACAATGTCACTTATATGTCACTTTTAGGATGATTAATAATATTGATTGATTTTAACAAACTACTTTTTATTGATACCTACAAAAGTATCTAATTTCTTATAAATATGATTTACAGTACTAAAAATTGTCTAATAGCTGAGGATTTCTTTCAATTATTATTAATGGTACAATTAGAAAACTTGGAAGATAAGAATCCAAAAATTCAGACAGAGGCAGAATCCATTTTTTGAAATTAATGGATATTGAATGAATATTTTTTATGTCTTACCGTGTCAGAATTTAATTATTAATTCATGTGTGTTTTATTTACCGATATTTGATTGCGCTTTCTTGCAAATGGTAGCTTCAAAACTCTTCTGTATCACACGTGTCCAAAAATTTTAACAATTTTGCAAAATTATTTAAATTAATTTTGTATTATAAAAACTAGGTTTTTTATGACGTACGATTTTCGTGGAATTATAGGTTGACTGCACCCGTGTAGCTATTTTTCCGCCATATATCCTGAACATTTATATATTATGTGATTAGAAAAAATCATCAATCGATAAATTTACAATTGGTATGTTGTAATTATTTTTTTATGGCCTGCACATTACTTGAATTCAACGATATAGACAGTTTACAGTGATGCCAGACATATTATTTGCTTATTAAGAACGTACACGTCTTAAAAAACGAATACTCATCGAACGTCAGTCAAGAATATAGATTTCAAAAACTACTCGCTTTTCAACCACTCACTTTCGAAAACGGTTCGTTTTTTTAGCGATTGTCGAGGATAGCCGCCCAGGTGCGTTTTAATCATCCGCTTCTGCTTCCGGAATTGTCGGTTTAGTCGTTTTAACCTGTCAGATTAAAACAAGAAAACAGACAATTCCGAAGCAGAAGCGGATGATTAAAACGCATCTATTAAAAATATTGCGCCAAGATGTAGGCAACACGTAATAAGGGTTCAAAATGGCGGAGTTTTCTATCTCCTTTTAAAAGGCACTCAGAAAGCTGCGCAGTGCGACCATTCTCCGTATAGTAAAAGAAAATCAAAGTATGTGTCTCGCTCCAAAGCAAAACAAACACTTTAGGGATCTCTCGGAGTGTCAATTCAAACACGATTGCAGCGCTCGGATAACTCCGATGATCAAATCAAACGCACCATATGTATATGTATAGCATACTATATAACTTAAATGGAATAAAAAAATTAAAAAAAAACTTTGGCATGATAATTTATTTATCTATTTATAAAAATGTTTACAACGTAAAAAAAATAAAGAAAATACATGAAACTTCAAATTAATACATTTAAAGTAATCAATGACTGTCACTAGAAAGTGATTGAAATTTTGCAAGCAAGCTTTCGTTATACCGTGATAGTCGGTGTTTGTATAAAATCACCATAGTCAAAATCACGATAAGTGTGAACGAAAATGACTGCCTTCAGAAATTACGAACGGTCTATTAATATTTGCAAGTAGTTTGTGATTTTTATTGTTTTATGTTCTGAAGTTGTTAAAGATATTTAAATGAACCTACTAAAAAAGGGAAGATCGTATTTTTACGAACGATCTCACTGATGCAATCGTACATCGTACAGAGAGTTAAAAAATCGTAAAAATACGATTTAAATCGTACGGTTGGCAACACTGAGACAGACAGTAGACGTGGACAGCAGGGGACAGTTTGTAATAATAAATGTCAGTTAGTTTTATGTATATCGAAGAATCCTGAATTTAAATTTTCAATTTTAAGTTAATGATTGTGTTATCCTCTAGATGAACTAAGCGAAATGGTTGTGGCTGTTTTTGTGTGAATTTTGAGGACAATAATTATATTTTGCAATATTACAATAAATCGAAGAACGTATTGCATTAGTAACACAAGCCACATAAATAAATTTAACAACCCCAATGTGTGTTCTTTAATTAACTAAAGTGAGATCTAGTCATGTAAGTAACACAAATAGTAACCAACTTTTGTCCAGGTTAATATGTATTAATTATTGTTTTAGAACAAGAAAATAGCTTCAAAACGTTAGAAAGAAGATTTGATATAGATAGAAAAATATCTGAATTGCCATTATTGAGTTTGCACTCAACATTTTTAATTAAGACACCATTGGCCATTCGTTTGGAAAATAAGAACAAAAATGTAATGTTACAAATAACGGTTAAAAATTACAAAAATATTTGTCAATAGATTTACAATAATTAATCGATAATAGACTGTAAGTGTAGTATTCTTTTTAATAAATAATTTACCGTAATTATATTGTTTAAATTTATTTACAAGACCATGAAAGTGCAGTCCATATTTATATAACCTTTATTATCAGGTTTTTAAATTTCTCGCTGCGTTGTTTGATATCGATGAAAGCGCCACATAGTGGGTCAGATGTTAACTACGTTAAAACTGGTCGTTGTTAAGCATTGGCATCTTATGAGCGTTTTCTATCTTTATCTCCCTTATCTCTGGCAGTAGTAATTTGCTGTTATTTGGTTTCGTATTTTTTTTAATATGCAGTTTTTTTGAATTTATCTGATTTTTTCTGTTACAAAAAATTGTATTTTAGGCTTATATTAAATAAACATATCATATGTTATCAAAAATATTATAGTTTTTAATACGTTTTTTCATTAATATGGCAAATTTCTTTAAAAAACATGGTTTTGGCAGTTGGACCAACTTCACTGAGACAGAGCTAGTATATACATTTGAATGTATATATACTCATTCGATAATTATAATTACCGGTTTTCTTCACCTTGTGCATCTTTAAAATAGGAAAATAAGTTTTGTGACAATCAATTCGTTCTAAAATGCTGAAGATCATTTTTAAAAATAACTGCACGCCCATGACTCGTCGATTTCCTTTTCCCTCAGACCCGCAAAGGTCAATGTTAAAAATGTGAGTCACTCTCTACAATTGTGGTATTTGACTGTAAGTTATGAATAATTGAAGATATAAATATAATTGACAAATCACCCTATTTCTTGGTTATAAAGCATTAGAAACTCATTAAATATAGGTTATTTAGAACCACCTAGGTGTCCCTTATCTATCCCTAAGTTATGCGAATTCCCCAATGAATCATTCTACAGGGTGTTCAATTAGGATTAGGACATACAACAACTGAAGATTATCTGATTCAAAATAAGGCGATTAAACGAAACATGCTTAGGTAAAATGTTACACGTGTTTATGTTGATTATTCAAAAATTATTAATGACTAGAATTTTTTATTACTCAGTTTAATTTTACTAAATTCGACAAACATTTTTGGTGTCATTAGATACACCTATCAGCAAAAAAAGCAGTAAAATAAACTTTGCCAGTGTCGTACGGCATGGGTAAGTAACACCTTCATCTCTTCTAAATTTTACGCCACTGTCCAAAAACTTATTTCGACTATAATTTTAAATTTTTTGATGTTTTTTATATAAATTATGTACTCTGGTTGCAAACTTATAAAGTGATTGGTTTTCGAGATGTTCTTTATTTTATTTTAATTCATTTAGTTTTCAACAAGAGTACCTGATTTATAAAAAAAAATAAATTAAAATAAAGTCCAAATAAGTTTTTGGACAGTGACGTAAAATTTAGAGAGGACGAAGATGTACTTACCCATGCCGTAAATCACTGGCAAAGTTTATTTAATTTATTTTTTACTGATACAGATATCTTATGACATTAGAAACGTTTACCGAATTTAGTAACTTTATACTGAGCAATAAAAAAATTACATATATCAATTTTTTTTGCGAATTTTCAACTTTAACCCCTGTATTTCGGAAACAAGTAGCATTTTACCTAAGCTTGTTTCGTTTAATCGTCTTATTTTTAATCAGAGAATCTTCAGTCCATACTTAATGGAACATACTGTATATATAGGCCAGGGGCGCAAAGCATATGGATCAACCCTCATAATACATTTTGGTTACAATAATGCAAAAAACCTTAATAAATCCGCGACAATATTACTTCCCCTGTGTGGTCGTAGAAAAAATTATTCAATACTGCTTACCTAACAATTCGAAACATATGGCGTCTCCTACACTGACTGCTATAGCTTGTCCAATCCAACCTAAAACCATCAAAATAAGAAGATTCCAAAATTGGTAAAGACCATACACCTCGGTATCGTCTATGGCAGGTTCCGGTATCATATTATTTATCTGAGAATCATTGCAGTCTACATTACATGTGGATATAAATGGATTTGGTGTACAAGGAGGTGTAAAAGTCCTGTTGTCTAAAGTAATATTATTTACTTTGAGTTTAACTGATGAGTCCACAAGTTCTGTATCTTGTTTAGCGATATCGGCAGTGAATGATAAAGTTTTGGAATAGTTTGACTCGCAAAATTCCGAAAGTTTCCAGCTGATGCATAAAATGTTTGCTGTGGAATCGCTTATACTACAAGATAGCTGTAAAAAAAGGGGGTTTTAAAAAGATCGAATATAACGTTAAAGAATTACTAAAAACGAAAAATGAAATAATTTTTTTTTGTATTAAGTTCGGAGTAATCTGTGTTTTTTAACGATGCATAAAATTGTCAATTTTTTGCCGAGACGTAAGTATACGTCAAACATTCAATCGAATGAATTATCAAACACCGATTTCGCAACGAAATACGAACAATATTCTTTGTACATCTGCACATCTGCACAAACAATAATGCCAATTAGTAAAAATTTGTTGAATTTCGATTTATTGAAGTAAATTGCATGTAAAAATTCAGATATGGAAACGACACAAATTTTATGTAGTCGTTTTGAAGTTGGAACTGTCAAACATTTACTTAATTTTACTTAGTTCCGATAATTTAATGACTCGTTTAAAAGCTCAGAAGGAATTATTAATTTTCAAGGTGTTCGATTTGCTCTTAAGACGAATTAGAAACTTGAAAGTGATAGTGACACTAAATCTAAGATGAAAGATGTGGAATACTCTGAGAAATACCGCAAGTCCTCTGACAAAAGAGTATCGCATTTTTAGTTAGTTTGCAGGTGTCTTCTTATTTCAGTTGCGCTTTCTTGTTGCTTAGCAGCGAAAACTTTATTAAGATGCGTTTACACGAATAAAAAAAGTCACTTTGAAAAAATTAAGATTACGTTTTACATTTTGTCTACAAAAACTAGAACAATTTACTTTCGAACTTTATAAATCAATTTCCCAGCTGAACATTGGTTTTTAGCGTTTTTAGAGTTTTTAAAGATAATCCAAAGCAGGTGCAAATTCGTGAAACAGATTCTTTGTTAACAAAATATTGTAACGTTTCTTTAATTTAAAAATAGTTTATTTGTTAAAAAAAGTTAATTTATAACGTAATAATTAATTTATATAATACTTAGGCAATATTGTAACTCACAATACTAATTGATTTATTACAATTTGTTTTTACTATCCAACACTTTTATTGAAATTTAACATCTATCAACAAACTCGCGCTATTTATACAAAGCCAACTGCAACTGTACATTCTCGACCGTCTAGAAAATCTCGAAGCGTTCGTTCATTGCTTCATCTACGCGTCAGATGCATACCTAGATAATTCCGGAAATGTTTTGATCATGAGTCAGGTGCCAGACACAACGTCGCGCTAAAGGTCGAAGAACAGAGTCGGTTCCGGCGTTCGCACAACAATATATTTATAATTTTTTTTTTAAACAATATCATTGTCTTTACAACTGGACTCTGATTCAGACTCAGCATTACTTGCCGTTGTACCTAAATTAATAATAATTGGTTCTAGATCAGAAACATCTAATTGCTTGTATTTTTTCTAATCGAGAACAATTATTTTTAGTGTGTCTTACATAATTGTCCCATTGAGTATCGGTAACACTATTCAAAGCTTCTGACCAAGTCTGAAATACATCTTCAGGTGACGACTTTGTTATTAAAATTGTTTCGTCATAAAACCGTTTGCACTGTGATATGGAGGAGTTCTTAATATTTATTCCCATATTCTTCAATATATCTAACCTAGCAGGAACTCTTTTTGTGGTAGATTTTGAAGTATAACTTCCCAAATCTGATATTTCATACCACTGATTGGATAATTCCTGCAACCATTTTACTATTTTTTGTCCAACTATAATATGGAATTGGTTCCACGTACCGCGAATGATAACTGGCATTATCCATTATAATTAAAGAAGGATGTTCCAGACTAGGTATAAATTTCGTCTTAAAACATTTTTCAAAACTTTCTGTGTTCATATTATTATGGCAATCCCCGATTTTTGTTCGACTTCTACTTGCAGTAGCCATGGTTTCATCTTGCCAACTTTTTCTGTCACTTCCCTTACTATATACCCACGTCTCATCCATAAATACAAGCTTAAAGTTTCCCAGCTCTATCTTCTTGTTTCAATTTTTCAAAAACGATATTTTGTTTTTAACTGACTCGATGTTCATTCCAATAAAAACTGTCTGTTGTTATTTCTGTTAAAGCGAAAGCCAATTTTTCGAATCCATGTATTAATTGCGTAGTACATTATTGTTAAACAGTTTTAAAAATGACATTTGTTTTTGAATATAACTTGTTAAAAATAAAACTCTTGTTAGTTAAAATGAGTTTAGAATATTTTTTGTACAACCTGCCCATAATGTATTTTGTAATAACTATAAATCATAATATTCTTGTAAGGAAGTTGGAAAGCTTAGGGTTTGATCAGTCGCTGTTGAGATTATTTTCATCTTACCTAAATCATCGTTTTAATTATGTCTTTTACAACGGATTTTCATCTTCACCCAGCACAGCAACATCTGGAGTTCCACAGAGCTCCAATCTGGGGCTACTATTATTTAGTATATTTATAAATGACTTGGCAATAAACTTAACATGTAATCAATCACCTGCTGTTCGCAGCTGACTTACAAATATTTACCTCAATCTCATCAATTCAAGACTCACTTTTTACAGACCCAACTGGGCATCGTTGTAATGAAAATAAGCCGGTTATGAATGTGTCTAAATGTAAAGTATGTTCCTATACTAGAAGTATTAACAAGGTGGAGTTTGATTATTTATTTAACGGCCTACCTTTATCAACTTGTCCATAAACTGAAGATTTAGGTATATTATTCAACCAAAAAGTTACTTTTTCGGATTATATTGAAAATACAGTTGCTTCTGCGTTGAAAAGCTTAGAGTTCTTAATTCGTAATACTTGTTCTTTTACAAACTCTCAAAGCTTGGAGATCCTTTACTTTTCTTTAGTTCGTTCCATGCTAGAATATGCATCTCTTATCTGGACCCTTATTTACAATATTCATTAAAGATCATTGGAAAATGTTCAGCGGCGATTTCTTAAGGACCTTTCTTTTAAAATAGATGAACTGTATCCCATTCGAGGTATTAAACAATCTCTGCTTTTTTCGAAAATAGAAGAGTAGTTTCCAGTGTGACATTTTTTTATAAAATATTACATAACATTATTGGTGTACTATTTTTGATAAATCAAATAAATTTTAATATTCCCCAAACAGCCATTAGATCATAAAACATTTTATACAGCAAGTATTCGAACGGACTTCGCCTATAACGCTAATGTGCTCAAATTTTAATTAATTTTGTTCTGATTGGGATATTTATTTCGACCATGAATTGTACTAATTTGTAGCTAATGTATTTAGGATTATTTCTTTTTTTTTTCTTGCTGTTGCTAAAATTATTTTCTATCGAAATATTATGTTTAACATTTATTTAATGTTTTTTGTCCTGTAAATATATTAATTTGTTGGGCAATAAAATTATTTTTATTTTATTAAGCAAAAATGTTTATTTTGATGCACCTACCACCTTTAAAATTTTGTCAGTATATTAACGAGAAATCCTATATAATTCCCAAAGAAAAATATTTTTGGAATAAATTCCGAATTCTATTTATTAATATTTAGTATTTTTTAGGTTCTATGACTCGAAACATGATGATCAGCTATACCAAGAATATCCAAAAGGGTAAATCAAACAAAGGTGGTCCTTAGGATCTCACAAGAGTATTTATTACGACCGGTTTCGAGGATCAAATCCTCATCATCAGGTAAGGTCTAAAAATAGAGAGGAAAAACGAATGAGCTCATAACTAATAAGTGGGTTTAAACATTTTAATATGAAAGTTGTCAAATATCAAGAACTCACCCGTAATTACTCATCTATTTAAGACTAAGCTAATAGAATTATCCCAGGGTCGGTGTAAAAACAAGTATGCGAGTATTTTTTAAAATACATAAAAAATTTAAAAAAAAAAAAACAATAGTTGCAACAAAAAGTTGATGTCAAAACACATAAACAAAAATAGGTCTAAAACTATTAATAAAATTATTAAAATATTTCACTAACGGACGAACAATTAAGACAAACAAATTTAAAAACTTTTTAAAAAACCACTACAAGCAATAAAATGGGTTCTTGGACAAGTGTTTATAATTCTACAGGAATTAAATTATATTTAGATTAATAACTGATTAACGCCCTCAAGATATAAATAGACGAATTAACCATTCTAATATTTAAGATAACAGTTTAGAGGTTGTCAAATTTAAATATTTTGACCATCGGCTAATAGATGGCGTTGGCGAAAAAAATAAATGTTTCTTAATAATAATATAGGTTTATAAACTAAATTGTTTGAATTTGTACGTAATAAACAAAATGAAATAAATAAATTATTATTGTTAAAAGTAGAGTCTAGCATTAGCGTTGGAAAATAATTTTAGATGTACTAATATTCAAATTAAGAAGTTGGTAACAATCAAAAGACGGAAAAGGAAATGGTGTTAAAATGAAAAGAGAGAAAAACTATTGATTTGGTTAATTAACCAAATCAATAGTTTTTGTTATCTTAAATATTAGAATGGTTAATTCGTCTATTTATATCTTGAGGGCGTTAATCAGTTATTAATCTAAATATAATTTAATTCCTGTAGAATTATAAACACTTGTCCAAGAACCCATTTTATTGCTTGTAGGGTTTTTTAAAAAGTTTTTAAATTTGTTTGTCTTAATTGTTCGTCCGTTCGTGAAATATTTTAATAATTTTATTAATAGTTTTAGACCTACTTTTGTTTATGTGTTTTGACATCAACTTTTTGTTGCAACTATTGTTTTTTTTTATATTTTTTATGTATTTTAAAAAATACTCGCATACTTGTTTTTACACCGACCCTGGGATAATTCTATTAGCTTAGTCTTAAATAGATGAGTAATTACGGGTGAGTTCTTGATATTTGACAACTTTCATATTAAAATGTTTAAACCCACTTATTAGTTACGAGCTCATTCGTTTTTCCTCTCTATTTTTAGACCTTACCTGATGATGAGGATTTGATCCTCGAAACCGGTCGTAATAAATACTCTTGTGAGATCCTAAGGACCACCTTTGTTTGATTTACCCTTTTGAACTTATAACTCACACAT